GGGCCCTGGGGCGGGAGCCCCGCAGTTTAACCCAACGGCCCTCGAGCGTCGTCTGAGGTGAGAGCTGAAGAGCCCCGGGGCAGCTCGGTGAGCGGGAACAGGGGTCTGTGCTGCTTCGTGTTTTCCACAGGCTGGGGGAAGGCGCTGGGGGGTCGGGCCATCCAGGCAGCTTTTTGGAGCGGCCTCTGGCGTAAAAGGCGGCTTCATTTGAGGGTCTGTGTGCCTCAAAAGGGCTCAGAGAATAACCAGGACCTGCCTTTACCTCACAAAAATGCAAACTTTACCTCACAAAACGCAAACTTCACCTCACAAAACGCAGACTTAGCAAAGCGCGTCGAGGCCTTGACTCGCAGGTGGTCGTTCCATTTTGGTCACGAGGTGAGAAATGTTTCTTTTATGCTTCTTACCCCAGTGAAAAGGTGCTGTGAACATTAAAAATCTTCTAGGTGCTTTGCTTGTGTTGCACTTGGCTTAGCCTGGTTTGCTTTTGTGTTCTTGTGGACTAGAACTGGTTTCGTGTTCAGCTCCGCACGAGCGGAGAGAGATGTGCCTTAGAAAGAGCTTTCTTGGCTTCTTTTTTTGGGTATGTTTCTATTTTAATTTTCAAAGGTACCTGTTGGTCTTTAACCCCTGAAAAATAGCTGTGATGGTTTCCATAGGATGCCTTGAAGTCGATTTGATAATTATTTTGAAACAGTGCATGAGGTGTGAAATCTTCCTGATGCCCTGAAATGTGTCCTTAGAGATCCAGAAGTAACCGATTTACTTTCTTTTTCATCCTTTGCACTTTGTCTTGTTTAAGCCTTATTTTAGGACTGGATAGGTAGGGTCGAACAAAGTTTTAAATTTATGGCTTTGCCATTTACATGCAATAAACGGTATCATTATATATCCGCTTAATATTTCATTATATGAAGTTAGTTTCCAACAACTTTCCTTTTAAATTCCACTGCCCTCTACTGGCTGGACCAGCCGGGTCCACCTGCTCGGTGCTCTTCCCTCTTTTTTTTTTTTTAAATTCCTTTTTTTATTTGTTGGTTTTCTTTTTTTAAGGTCAGAAACAGTTGCAAAGCTTTCTGTGAAAACCTGCTAGAACGGTGACTTTACAAGGCAGAGAAGGTTGCTGGCAGGATGGTCTCCCTAAGGAGCCCTGAACTGTAGATTTCAATCTTCTCCTTGATCCAAAATAACCTAGTTGGGCTGATCTTGAAGTCACACTGCAAAGCCTATTTTCCAAAGGCGTAGAGGGGTGAGAAAAAAAGAAGATATGTTTGATTTAGAATCTGAACACTGAGAGTTTGCATTTATAATTGGAATATTGTTTTGGCTTTCTTTTTTTTGTTTCTGAGGTTTGGAGAAAATGCTGGGTTACTATTTGGTGATAAAATTTGTATATGTAAAAAAACATTTCAAATATAATATTTTATCAACAAAGATTGTAAAACATACTGTTTTATTAATATTAACATCCAGAAATATATTTCCTCTTTAGGTGTTTAAATAGTTTTCTCCTTTCCCATTCATGCTGTTCTGTGTTCTACACATGAGCAAACACACACGCTTGAGTGCTTGAATCACCTCATCTGCATGAACAGACTTTTCCTGTGAGTGAAATCAGATGGAGGATTAAACCTTGGAGCAAGAATCTGAGACTTCAACACATCTTTGATAAATTGTCCAAATGAAACTATCAGCTGTTTCTTTTCTATAAACCTCTGCACCTTGATGATTGCAGCTGTGTGTAGCCAATGACTCTGCCTTCACCAGGCTCTTGCTGCCTGAATGCTCTTCCTCTTGGAGCTGTTCAGTCCAGTATAAGACCTTGGTTATTTTTAACCTTGCCAGGTCCAGATGAAGGGTTTTCATGTCCTGTGAGTGTGCCTCTCTCCTGTCTCATGGCTGCAGGAGGTACAGCTGATCATGAGATTTTTCTCAGCCTGCAGTGGACCTGATGCACCAACTTGCTTAGTGGCTGTTTCAGCAGAGGGCAGCACATGGGGATATTAAATAATCGTGTTTCACTTGACCTTTACAGTGACTTAGTCCTTCTCCCACACTTCAGTATTCTCCAGACAGAATAAGCCTTGAAAATAATGAGAGGTTTTGTCTGCAATCCTGTTTTTGCATATTTGTCTTAGTTGTAGAGCTCTCAGGTTTTGAATAGGCTTTGACTGTCATTTTTGGCACAGCTATTAAAAAAAAAAAAGCTTTCATAGCACTCAACTTTATTTTGTAAAACTGCCAGTTCCAGAATCTTTTCTGAAGTTATCTAACTGAGCAGGAAGTGGCTGAAGGTGGAAATAAATAATAATTAGATTAAATTCATTATTTTTTGCTCATGCCTACCTGTCAGCACCTTTTGCTTTTACCAGAGCTGGGATGATCCAGGGGAATGAAAATGATGAAAAGGATGTAAAATGACTATTTTTATGAAAAAAAGAAGTTTTCACTCACACCACAAGCAGAAGAAAGGGTTTGGTTTTTTTCCTTCTGAGGTAGCAAAGCTTTCCATGTTGGACAATACTGCCACTACCATGGCAAACAGCTGCAGTATTGCAAAAAGGTTATTTTGTATCTAAATGGCAGGTATTTAGGAGTTAAAATTGAAAAGGCATCTGACTCATTGACTTTATTAATTTTTTTAGATCAATATAAGGGAGACTGCAGAGAGAGATTTCAATAAAATCTCTTTTTAGGATCAGCAGACTTGTTCCTTGTGACTCTGGTAACACAGAGAGAAGAGGCAGGATGTGGGTTTCAAGATGATTGTTTGATCCTGTCATCTCTCTAACATTTTGTATCTCAAAGTACACGTCCATTTTGAAAGTAAAGTGGTTTCTTTGTGTTTGTCCCACTTCAGAAAATCCCTGCTCCACCTCTTCACAATTTCCCTGATATTACAGATTTTTTGGTTTCACCTATTAAATGAAAAATGCTCTTGCGTTGCAACTCATGGTCTAAAAAAAGATCGCTATGAAGTTTCAGACATCATCATCATCTCCTAGGGAGTTTTAGCTGTTGCTATAGAAGCCTAAATTCTCTTCTGAGAGACCTTTCCAATACAAAGAAGTAGATACTGGAGGAAAGTTGTCATGGAAATAAGCAGCAAAAAGAGAAAGGAAATCTCAGTTTGATGACTGTTACGTAGGCTTTGCCAACTTGGTGAAGTGGCTTCATACATGGAGATCTGATCCTGCAAATTCTCTTCATTACATTCCTGTGAACTGGAATGCCACAGAATAGAACCTAAAGAAGCAAAGTGTTTAACATTTATATAACCAAAGATACCTCTTCACCTTAGTGAGCTTTGTGTTTATCCAGATTCAAGCTTCCTCACTGCATAATAACATGTAAAAAACAACATGATGCTATGCCTTTGTCTGCCCAACCCTCCAGGTGGGGAGGCAAGATCCCTTTGGAGCTGAGTTTGTTTGCAGTGATGTTGTCTGCAGCTACCACCAATATTCCTCTGCTGGAATCACCCCCTCCAAGTAGTTCCCAGCATCCTGGTTCAAATGCGGGATGAGCTGTAGCACAGCTTTTTTCTTATATTTCTGGCAATGACGACTCTGAAAGGATTAATAGAGCTACCACTATTGAAATAAGGCTTTCAGAACCAATTTTAAAATTACTATAAATAGTCTGCTCTGCAAGCTGCAGTGCCATTTCACATTTGAACAGGAGGCCTTTGTGTCCAGCTAAATGGTTGTGTAAGCAGATCTCTCTCCATAAATTTCTTGTCCACTTTACACCATCACTAAGCCTGGCTAGTTCCCTGGTTTCAAGCTTTTTGTGTCTGTCTTCCTAAAGCCTCCTGATATCTAATGTATGTGATTATGAGTGAGCTGCTTTTAAATATCTATTACCAGTGTCACCATGGTAACTGCTGGAAGAGTCTCTTGCTGGTAGAAGGTTTCCAGCTCCCTGAGCTATAACAGGGCAAACTGTTTAGGCTGTTTTCACAATTTGAATGAGATTACACACAATATCTAAGAGGAAAATAATAATATTTCTTATTTTCAATAACAGTGAATGTTAATGGTATTGAAAGGAGTAAGACTGGTTCTGGAGTCTGTCCTCAGAACAGAGCACAGTTTGGGCAGGGACAGACCAAGCTTCCCTGGAGGATGTGCCCTCACCAGCAAGACCCTGCAGGAAGAGGAAAAGGTTGTTCTCTTCAACTTAGCTGACACTTGGCCTTTCACTGTCAACAGGTGAACTAATTAATCCTAATGAGGGATGCAAAATCGTGATACTCCACTTGCCAGAGGAGTAGGCAGAGCTGCTAGTGATTGAATAGAAAAAAAATGAGCTGGTTTGTGTGTTCTCCCCTCAGTTCTGAGTTTCCAGTAAATTGTGTCTTTGTTTCCCTACCTGTAAAACAGATAAGTTATTAAGCCACTGCAGCTATTAGCTGCTTCTGTTCAAGTCATCAAGAAGACTCCAAGACATTGGACTCTACTCCAAGACATTGCTATGTACCTTACCAGTAGCCTTTTTTTTTTTTCAAAAGCTTGATCTACACTAGAGGGTTTGTTCATCTCCTGGGACTTGAACTCCTTGTGCTTCATCAGTTCTCCCTGTTAATTTGTCTCAGTTTTTGCTGCTGCTGGGCTCCCTGGGATGCACTCGGGACATCTGGGCATTTCCTGCAGTTCTGCTGGAGTTCAGGGGTTCTCAGTGGTTCCAGTCCCTCTGAAACAAAGCTGACAGCTCGGGTCTTTTATTTGCATCGCCCTGAAATGCACCAGGTTCAAAGCAGTGAGAGATTCCTTCACCATCCCCTTGGGGATTTTTAATTCTAAGGCAGCCTCCACACATCTTCTCCAGTCCTTAATTTTGTCCATTGTCAGGAATCAGCAAAAATGTAATTAAATGGTTTTCTGTTCAAGGCTCCTCAGTGTTTCTAACAGATACCTGTTGTCATTCCTTTCCCATTAGTTGATAGAATGCAAAATTTTTCAGCATGTGATCCCTCTTGGACAGTAAGCAAAGGGAGCAAGTAAGATTGTGCAGTATTTTGCCTGTGTAGGTACTAAAAACTTGCTGTGCTACTTGAATATGGTAATTCTCAATCAATTGTTAATGAATACCTCATTATAACCTATATATCAGAAAACTAACAGTGAGGAATAGAGATACTCCCTCTCCTAAGTCTTTC